AAGAAGAAGAAGAAGAAGAAGAAGAAGAAGAAGAAGAAGAAGAAGAAGAAGAAGAAGAAGAAGAAGAAGAAGAAGAAAGGTAATGATGGGGCTAGAAGGATGGTTCAGTGGTTAAGAGCACATACTGCTCTTGAAGAGGACCCAGGTTCAATTCCTAGCACCCACACTATAGCACACAACCATCTATAATTCTAGTTCCAGGGTTATCTGATGCCTTCTCTGAACTCTGTGAGCTCCTGCTTGTATTTGATGTACATAAATTCATGAAATACATAAAATACATTAATTAAAAAGAAGATATGATTCATCAAAATGGTTAAGCAAAATGGCTCTTAATAAGGTGTTGTTATAGTTTCAAAAATAATTCATAAATAGTCTATGGAATTGTTTTGTGTGTTTACCTCAATACAAAACAATTGTACTTACGGGTAAATATATTGATCATAAATGATAGTAAAGAGCTTTTACCAGTCATTTTTAATATCTGTCCATTTCAATTATGCTTTTTATGGTATTTTATTTATTCAGTTGTGTTTGTCTCTGTGTGTATGCATGTCATGTCTACATACATGCCATAGCATACTTGTGGAGGCTGGACCACAATCTACTGTGTAGATTTTGGAGACTGAACTCAGGTGGTCAGTTTTGGTAGCAAGCGTCTTTACTCACTGAGCCATCTTGCTGACCCCAAAATTCAATTATAAAAACTAATTTTGATTTGCTTACAGAAGTCAAATTTTCTCAAAGCACCATACCATGTATGAAACTATACTTTCATTTGAGGCAAAGGCATCTCACTGTGGGAGAAGCGCCACTGTGTAAGTGACAGGGAGGGAAAAGCTGTTTTATTTAAAATCCTAGTTTACACATAGGACGGCCACATTCTAACGCTGCTTGAATGATGTATTTTACTTAGGCATAATCATTTTGAACTCACCAGTTCTGTTATAAACTTTTCTAACAATTCAGCAAGAAGAATGGCGATCCCAGCAAAGACAGTACTAGATATCATGATTTTACATTTGCTCAGTAAGAATTACAAGTTAATTGGTAGGGCAGAATTATTTAATAAATACAATTGAGCCAAGAGGTTACAATTGGGAGAAAAATTATTTAAGTATTTAAGTATCTAATTCATGATAAATACTGAATAAATAGATTATGGATGGATTAAATTTTTAAAAATTCTAATTCGTGATAAATACTGAATAAATAGATTATGGATGGATTAAATTTTTAAAAATTAAAATATTGATACATCAAAAGGTTAAAGGAAGAAAATAGACACATTAAATTTTTACATGAAACTTCTGGATGGTAAGATTTAAGCTTAGAAGCAAATGCATATGGGAAACATGTAAGTATGTAAAACACAAGCACACATGATATTTGTGTGTGCTTATATATATGTCCAAAGAGAAATAAAATATATTCAGAAAAATAAAATTTTAAAAGTGTGTGCAAATAATTTTTTTTAAAAAGAGAGAAAAAACAAATAGAGAAAATATTCTATAAAAGGAGTTAAAATTTTGAAATACAGAATTTATAGAAGTGGAGGCACACAAGTATGCCCCAACCTAGCCCACTCAAATGGCCAAATATGAACACAAAATTTAAGAAGGGCCATGTCTAAAAAGAACCTGGATTTATATTCAGCCTATAAGCAAATAAGAAAATGTAAATATAAGGACATATTTCACAATCATTAAATTAGCAAATGAGTAACAATATACTTGGAATCTGAATAGGAAACGCTTAGCAGAAAGTCTGCCGGGTTTTCTCAGCAAGTAAGTTGTTTCACCACTTTTAGAATTTAGCAATTTGACATTATACATCAAATACAAAAACCCTGTGACCCTGCATCCACCGCTCTGCCTTTACAAATGGCATGCTAACAGTTCAAAATAGCATGCCTTTTGGATGTCATATTTGTGATACAGCAAAGTGAACATCAATGAAAGGATATTTAAACAGAGATGACACAGTTAACAGAAATGTTTAGAAAACAATTTCGTAACATTAGAAATGTTTGAGTAGTTAAGTAGAAAAACTAATGGCACTAAATAGTCACAGTATTACCCTTAAAACCTTTATAAAGGTAATTTAAGAAGGGCGTAGGCCTCAAGAAATAAGGATATACCAACAGTGATTGTGGTAGTACTGGGGGGATTGGGAATGCTTTCCCACTTACCCCAAATTTCCAACAAGTCTTATGAACTTGTAAACAAACATTTAAAAGTACAAGTTACTATTAATATTATAACATTAACTTAAAAATACAATGATAACAGAATGCAAAAATATTTGGTCAAAACAAAACTCACATATATTTTGTTACAAACATTGAGATTATTTACCCGAAAATAAACTGACAATTGTGCACTTGGAAGCACTGTGTGTGAAAAATCTTCAAAAGCTTTGAAAACTTCAATCTTCCTTTTTTGTATTTTTAAATTTTATTTAGTACAATGTTCTGCCTGCATGTACAGAAGAGGGCACAAGATCTCATTACAGATAGTTTTGAGCCACTATATGGTTGCTGGGAATTGAACTCAGGACCTCTGGAAGAGCAGCCAGTGCTCTTAACCACTAAGCCTTCCCTCCAGCCCTGTATTTGTATATTTTAATGGATGATTTGGGGGGTGGGGGAGTCTTAGAGTACAAAATAATAACTCGCTGAATCTGTCTTCTTAATTTCTTCTAGAAGAAATGTTTCTTTGGAGGAAAAAGAGGAGTGACTTCAAAGACCAAAAAGAAAAAGAAAAGATCAAAAAATGTAGAGCTTTAAAGTCATGCCTGGAAGAAAAAAGAATGTTTGCAATCAAAACAAACCATAAAATGTGATTTACATCAACATAAGACTTACATTTTTATGGACTTGGACTGCACCAGCAAATGGTTGTTTCAGTGCAGTCATCATGTGAAGTTCTATGGCTCTCTTCTTTGGGCTATTTATAGGGTAATTCTTTTGAAAGCCTCTTTACCTTTTACCTGTGATGACTCCAAATGGGCCAAAGCACTTACACTTTCTCCTACCTATTTATCTGTATTTGTGGAAACTAGGAAGTTGTTAGGGCCCTGTTAGTGCCTTCCTTAAACACACTGGCTGCTTTTTCTTTCAACCTTCCATTTAATGTTAGGTTAAGACACTGATGTCATAAAAGCCTGATTTTCTTTATTAAGAAATCCCCCACTGCATAATGTTGTGGTGCCATTCATTCAGAGCAGTTTTAGAAGCAGACTAAATGGAAATTGTTTTCACAGCTATTTAGAGAGATGTGAAGTGCACTCTTCAGGGAAGTGTTCAGCAGAATGAGTTAATAACACTCCTCAACTCCTACCAGCCTGGATTGGGTTTGGAAATGAGGAACACCTCAGAATGAAGTGGTAGTCCAGAGAAAAGGTGAAGCAATTGGTGCAACACAGATAGAAACTGTAATGGGTCTGCTCTGCAGGGCAGGGAAAAGTAAGAACATTCTAACACAATCACTATGGACCCCTTTGAAGAATTAAGTCAAGCTAGTTTGTAGGTCCAGCTGAGGAGGCTGAGGCAGGAGGATCACTTGAGGCCAGGAGTTCCAGGCCAGCCTGAACAACGCAGAAAGAAATTTTTCCTCACAAAATTCTGGTCACTAAGAATATAGCACAAATTTCACACTATATTATTTACTTTCTACATGCATAAAATAAAATGTAAATTTAGTACAGCAAATTATTACAAGCTCACTAATATATTAATTTATAAAATATTTTTTAAAAAAGATTTATTTATTATGTATACAGTGTTCTGCCGGTATGTCAGCCTGCAAGCCAGAAGAGGGCACCAGCTCTCATTACAGATGGTTGTGAGCCACCATGTAGATGCTGGGAATTGAACTCAGGACCTCTAGAAGAGCCGCCAGTGTTCTTAACCTCTGAGCCATCTCTCCAGCACTAAAATACTTTTACTACACTTTAGATTCACCATTATTAATTTTAAAATATTTTCTAATAATTTTAAATTTCATTTATCTAGTGCTAGGTCTCAAGAAAGCAAATGCAAAATAATTCTTAAAGAAAATTGGGGCCAATATGGTTATCTAAAGTAAATTTGTTCAAATATAGAAGCCACACATGGCAGAAGTACAAAGACTTACACACACACACACACACACACACACACACACACACACACACTTTCCAAAGTAAATCTTAAAATAAAAATGTCACACTCCAACAGATGTGTATCACGTAGCATCCAATCTCCTATTTTCAAATTAGAATGACTTGCTAACCTCTCTAGAGGACAATCTAGGACCATCAAGGTCCCAGCTCAAAGGCATGCTAATGCTTAAGACACGAATGGTTGTCAAGAGAGAAACGGAAAAACAGGACTCATGGAATTACCAATTCCTGACAGTCATCTAGCTTTGTCCTTGACACATTTACAAAAGGACAAAAATGGTCAACATAAAGTAATAACAGACAACAAAAAGTAGTGACAGGCAACAGCAGCAAGAGAAGTGCAGAGGACCAGGGGACTCCGTCTGTACCAGGTACGGGGACTGCAGTTATGTACAGCAAGTGAAATAAACTTTTCTACTGTCTCCATAACAGCATCTACTTGTGCATGCATCTTAACCTGTAAGTGAAAAATAAGGACTTCTGTTTTAGACCAATAAGTATTAATAGCTTTCTTAAGTTTTGAATTATAATGCTAATGATGATAATAGGCACTATATGCACACACATGTTCAGTTTGCCATGCAACACTGTTAGTCTTGAAAAATGAAACAGCAAAGCCTTGTTCACACCCGAGTAGGCAATTACGAATATGCTACACTTCCATACTATGAATACTGCTCAGTTCAATGCAGTTGTCATTCTCCTTTCCTTTCCTGCTATGGATTATCTCACCTTGCACTTTGGACACTTCTGGGCATTTCTCTGCCCATGCTCAATTTCACTGGCCCAATGACGCAGTAACTTGTCTCCTTTTTTGTACTCCTTGCAGTTAACACCTTCATGCCAAGGAGCATGGCACTTAAAACACCAGATGAATTGGCAAGCGGGACACTGGATCTGTGCAAGAAAAACAGTATTAGTACTTAGGAGATACACCGAATGTTTCCTACTGCTGAGATAAAAACACCATGACTGAAAGTAGTCTGGGAGGAGAGGAGTTATTTGGCTTACACAGCCCAATCACAGTCCATCATAAAGGGAAAAAAAGGAAGGAAGCTGGCAGCCGGAAGTGAAGCAGAGGTCATATAGGAACACTGCTTACTGACTTGCTCCTCATGGCTTGCTCAGCCTGCTCACTAACGCAACCCAGAACCACCCACCCAGGGGAGGCACTGGCCACAGTGGGCTAGGTCCTTCCACATCAGCCATTATTTCAGAAAATGCCCACAGGTAAATATGACCAGCAATTTTCTCAATTGAGGTTTCTTCTTCCCAGATGACCTAAGCCTGTGTAGGGCTGACAGAACAAAATTCACCAGCATAGTGTCTAACAGGATAAGAATGTCAATGTTTTGGGAAATTAGCTAAGGTTATTATTTGAAATACTTTCTCCAAGAACAAACAAGACCAAATCTCAGTAAAATATGAATACTCTGCTACTGACAGAGGAAAGGACTGTTTGGGCAAGGGCAGTTTGTTGCTTAGAGACAACTCAGACACTCATTAAACATGTGGGGCACTTTGAAAAGCAATTTAGTTTTATGAAAATCTCCCATATTGAGGCACAGAGTAAATCTTGAAGGCTCCAAATCCAAACACTTGGACTGCTAGTCAATTCACGTGACTGTTGAGCGAGCTTTCCAGTCATTTTCATTGCTTTTCTTACCAAAGGCTCGATTAACTTTACAGGGCCTTCCTCAAAGGGAAAACACACTGGCAACGCCACACTGCTGAATCAGCAGTGACCACTGAGGAATCTCGTGAGAAAGGTGTCAGTGTGAAGATCCTGCTGGTGACCCCTAAGAAGCCATCGGAAGCAGTCTTCTTTGTGAATATGAATTTATGGAATGCGCTCATTGAAATTATCTGCCTTCCAATTGACATGGGAGATGTTGCTTATGTCTTCCTTTGTTTTGAATAGCAGTGAAAGTATTACATTCGCACACAGTTTTCCCCATTCAAACTTTAACGGGATGTGGGCATAAATACATGGTCCCACCCAATTTGATTACAGTGAACTGAAATAAAACACCTCACCATGAATGATCTGATACCTAAGTAAAGCAGGGATACATAATATTCTTTCTCCATAAATATGAAATAATAAAAATTTGTTTTCAATTTTATATAAAAATGTCAATTGTCATAGTAAAATTCGTTAATTTCAAAATTCTGTTAAACGGTTGATAGTGCTACAAAAGATATATGGCCTTCATAAGTATACATTATAGATGATGGCAGATATTAAGTAACCCACCCAAAGTAACACAGCACTTAGGTATTAAGAAGGTACCTGAACCTAAATTTGTCTGGCTACATGGTCGGCATACTCTTTACTGAATCAAAACTCTTGATCATACTCAGTGGCATTCCTTCTTTAATAAGTGAAAACTTAAAACTTCCCACCCAAAGGTCACCATGGTTAAACTGCTCAACCAGTCACCATTTTACAAATTTCCCAATCCATTAATATAACAAGGGAGACTCCTTGGTTTAGGGAGGAAAGATTATTACTATTCAGTGGTTCAAAGAAAGACCCATTTGCCTTTTCTGTATACTAAAATTAAAATTAGTCCTTTTAAAAATAACAAAAGGGAGTTTATTAGATTGGCTTACATATCGGGCTGGGTACACCTACAATACATGTCTTTACACTAAGCTTGTTTTGTTTTTTTGGTAGAGCCAAGCTAGCTTCCAAGTTACTATGTAGCAAAGGATGATCTTTACCTCTTTATCTTTCCACTTCCACGTCCCAAGTGCTGAAATTATCTTCGCCACACTGGACTAAGTAAGTCATTTTTAGGGTAAGAATAATGAATTGACATGGGTAGTGCAGAATAGATATCAACATTATAGATGGGGTGGGTTCCTTTTGCTACAAACGGGGTGGTAAAGAAGTGAAGAACACATTTTCCCATCACTCATCTCACAGATGTTAGAAAATTTGAGTCCTTATTTCAGTCACCTCCTATTAGACAGTATTCACAACCAAACTCTAGAATCATTAAATGCAAAATTGTAAGGCCCCCTTTGAAGTAAATAAAACAAGCTTAAAGATCTGAGTTCAATTCACAGGTTGTTCATGCAGGCAACTATAGCTCTGGGGAGCTGAAGGCAGGTATATCCAGGACTAAGTGACCAGTCAACATGGCCTAGATCAGTGAGTAAGGCTGAGTACACACACACACACACACACACACACACCTTCTCCTGCAGGGTTTTTAATCAGATTTAGATTATATTTATTAGTGAGTAGAAGAAGTAATGTAAAGTTATTTTGAGACTGGCAATCACTTAATGAAGGTGGAACACTACAATGGCTCAAGGATCCTTGTGGCCAAAAGTTGCATCATCATCACATCAACAGACTTTAAAAAGTGATAATCAGAATATGTGATTATGTTAAGGTACCACAAAGAAGGAGCCTGGTGCTTGGTGTCTAAAGCAGAGAATGTGGTGCCCAAGAAAAATAAGTCCCACTACTAATTCTTATCAACGAAGATGTAGGGACAAACTGAGACAGCCATTATAAAGCAAGATCTGAAGTAAGTAGGGATAATAAACACTCACACTCAACTGCTTACCACACTCTGAACTGAAACAGTAAACAATAATAGCAACTTTGGTATTTAGAGAATATACCCTAATTGTCACACTACTGGTTCTTGTCTGAAGATACCACGCCTTATTCATTATGACCTTAACCACATTCAAAATTGGCCTTCTACAAACACAGATATCAACAGCTGCATCTTCCTCACTCTTGTGTTCAGTCACTGCGCTCAGGGGATGCCAGTCCACAACCACAGGCCTACCACCCGGAGAGGCTGCCTTCTGAATAAAACGATCTTCATGCAGACACACCTACTTCTCCATTCTTCCCACGTGGACTGGTGTGAATGTGAAATGTGACGCCTGGTCCAGCTGGGGGCAGTGTTGGGGAAGGCTGGGAACCTTCAGGAGGTGAAGTCTTACTGGAGGAAGTGGGTCACTGGGGCAGTTGCCGAAGCTTGAGAGCCCTGCTCCACTTCCTGTCTACTCTTCTGCTTTCTGACTGCAGAGGCAATGTGGCCAGCTGCCCCCCTGCTCTTCTTGCCACACACTCCCCGGAGGGATGGACTGCATCCTCCTGAAATCTAGGTCCAAACAACTCACTCATGTTCACTGCTTCTTGTTGGGTATTTTGTCATAACGACAGGAAAGGTCATTAATACACTACTCAAGGTTAAGTTGGAGAAAGGTGATTCTTCCAAATACATGTAGCTACTGTTTGACATTGTTGACAAGCCACCTAAGAGGTAGCTGATGTCTACTTTGGCAGCAGAGGTTACTCACTCTTCGACGATAAGAGGCAAACTGACCTTCTCTCCTTAGATGCAAAATGGGGATAAGCATACATCCAGCCTTTACCGTGGAGACAAAGACCAAAAGAGTGGGTGAAGATCTCTGGAGAAGAGAACTGACATTGACTTGTGCTCTTATGCTACCAGAGCTGTCTGGTTCTCCCTGAGCCCTGCTTTCTTCCTTCCCACTTCCGAGAGGTGGGGAGGGGCGGGGCAGGGCACACTTAGCAAACCTCATTGCTGTGGCCTAAGAAAGAACACCTAACTGCTTCCTATAATTGAAAAACGGTCTAATGAACCATTGAATGTCAATCTGTCCATTGACATATCCTGGGAAAGTGTCTTTCTTCAAAATGTCTTCGCTATACTTCCCAACCAGACTTAGTACCTTTACCAGGAAATTTATGTTAGGTACGCAGACCTCCAACTTCTCCAAGAGTCTTTAAATTCACCAATGACAAAGACTTCATCTGTCTCACTCTTCCTGGATTCTCTAAACTAGTAAGCAAAGCACAGGCATCAGTAAGTTCTTTGTCAGAGGAATCTGACGAAATCCATTAATTGACGTGGCACCAGGCGATGTTTACTATTTTATCTTCATGACACTCTATTGATCGCCACGATTAAGGTGCAAACTTTTTGGCTCGGATTAAGAAACAGAAAAGAACTGTGTAGCACATCTCTGACATTTGAAACAAATCAGTTTTCACGGGAACCTTTGTCATACCAACTCTCAGGTGGTAAGACTCAAACCCAGCTGTCCTAAGCAAATGATGTTTTCCTGTAAACTCGTCATGCCAAGAAAACTCAAGACAAGCCAAAATAAAGAAAACTGCAGATTATTTTCACTAAATTTCCATATTCCTATACACGGTTAACTCATCATGCCAAGAAAACACTTGAGATGAAGTCAAAATAAAACTGCAGGCAATTTTTCACTAAATTTCTATATTCTTATACAGTATTACTTTTTAAAAATTTATTTGTGTATATGTGCAGTGTATGTATATGTAGATTCGTATGGATTTCTGCACTGTGTAGAGGCGAGAGAGGTCAATGTCTGATGTTTTCCTCTATTGCTCTTTCTCTTATTTTTGAGACAGGGTTTCTAAGTGGACTTGGAGCTCACCAACTGGCTATGCTGGTTGACCAGAAGGCTTCTGGAATCTGCCTTTCTCCTGGCCTCTCCAGTGTTGGGGATTACAGATGCATGGTGCTGTACCAACTTTTATGTAGGTGCTGGAGATCTGAACCCAGGTTCTTCAGTTTGTATATATCAAGCCCTTATCCCTGAGCATTGGCTCAGTCTGTAATTTTAAATAAATCACAAATTACTTACTATGCTCAAGGTTAGACAACACCCATGTTTAACTGCAAGCTTGAAGGTAAGAGCTACCTTAGTCTTCCATGAGGAATTTCCTTTATTAGAATATCTGGTTAAAAAGATTCTCAATAATGAAACACAGTCATTAATTCATTCATAACAGAGATTTATACAGCACCTGAGTGGCAGGTACTGACCATACTGATTTTTGTTTTCACACAGAAAAGAAT